TGTGTTTTCTGTGCCTAAGTATTCTGTGTAATACTTACTATTTACTGTGTCTTCTGATGCAAAAAAAAAAAAAAAAAAAAAAAGTTTAAAAGGAATTGGATGGCCATCTGCTGGATCAGGCTAAGGGTAGGTCCTGGAAGATACTCCTTCCAAACCTCGTAATCAAAGGTGACCGAACAGTTGGTTTACAAGAACCCCTTTTCAAAGTAATTGGGGATGGGGTGCTTAGAACTGGGCTGGCACTGTAATTTTTTTAGGAATCTGCTCCCATTTACAAGATGTTCCATCATAAAAATCAAATCATAAAATCAAATCCAAGTATGTTCATTTGGTATATTCATTTTCCACTTCTTACTAGGGGTGGTGGGGGAGGAGAAGCTGGTACAGGAGAAATGTCTTTTATTTCCCCTCTATAACAATGGTATAATTCCAAATCTTATAGACCATCACACAGTTCTGTTGGTTGATTGTTTTCCATGGATTCTACTCTGCCAGGAGACACAATAAATAACTTTTTGAAACTTCATTCTTCAGTCCTGGGAGTTTTTACAAATAAAACAACACATGTGTTGGGACAAATTACATGCTTGAAAATCTGTCACTAACATCAACTTCATTTTAAAAAGTACTAAGCAACTGTTACAGTGGCATTTCTTTTGTTGGTGGGGAAAATAATGTGTGAATAGCTATGCTAATTTAGAGGTAATTTTCAAATTTCATGACTACATAAAAAAGCTAAGAGTAGTTCAATAGGTAAGTTTGGGAGGGAGTTGTTGGTTTTGTTGATTTATTATATCTTGACAGACTGGTATGATTGAAATGAATTAAATGTTAGACATGCTTAATATTTTATACTCTATATGTCATCATAATAGCAAAGTGCACAGATCACATTATTGAGTGCCTTTGGATTTTAAAAATAAAGATTGCTATTCAGATGAATACCATTTCATTATTGCCTGCACTACTCTGTCAAATTAAAAAATATAATAGATATCTTTATTCTCATTTTAAAGCATGATAATGTTGAAGTTGATCACCAAATGTTGACGTTGATCACAGGTCTACATTAAAAATAAGTCATTTTTGTAGGTGAGTTATACAATACAGCAAAGACCACCAAAGAGAAAGCCAATACTTTCATGGACAGCTCAGGACCTTAACAGATCCCAGCACCAATGCTTCAACCATTCCCAACTCCTTGTTCCTTGCTAGATGCTCCTCACCCCAAACTCCTGCACATTTCAAGAATTTCTGTGCACGTGTGTGTTAAGGGGAGGAGTTTTAAAGTATCTCTGTGTTCAACAAGATATATTAGCTTGTAAGCAGCAGAAACCTACTTAAACTAGCTTACATGAGAAAATAACATTATAAAGACATAGGAGTGTTTCTACACCAAGAACTGGAGGTGTAGTTTGGTTTCATGAGGGATTAAAATCTGTAATTCTGAAGTAGACTCAGGCAGCTGCACATCAATCTACGTCTTTCTCTCTGGGATTGTGGACTCTATCCTATCTGACTTGCTTTGTTCCGGGCATCATTCTTGCTCTGGAAAACACATTTTCCCTGCTCATTTTTTTTTAAATTTAATGCTTAGGTTCAATCTGCTCATTTTTCCCTACAGAAGAAAACAGCTTACTGTGTTCCAGAAAACAAGAGAACCTGAGCAGCCTCTCTGAATACGGGGCCCGCTTCTCACTCACAGGTATTCTTAACCTGGGGTCCATGTGGGGTTTGTGAATTTTGATAGGATTTTAAATTACATATTCATTTCCACTAATCTCTAACTGAAATTCAGCCTTTTCTTCAACTGTGAAGGCAGGCAGCAAGCCACAGTGGAACCTGCAGAACCTATAAATTTGTCGGTGTGATTGATGTTATAATGTGACACTCAGATCTTCTTTCAGAAATGAGGACTTATCCCCAGCTACTATGAAAGCTGTTGGCAGAGTGCCTTCAGCTGTCAGCCCCAGGGAAATGGCCTCAGTTGCAGAGAGCCATCTCAGTTGGGTAGTAAACACCTGGCCCTCTTCTCTGATTCCAGGTACTTCTGAAGGGTCATGTAATCTTCAGACCTTCTGTAAGGTTGGCTGAAGCTTCTTCTCAGATTGTATCACAGCTCAACGTCATCCTTCTCTGACCGGTTCCACCTTGCCTTCCCTCATGTTGATGTCAAGAGCATTCCCTAGCAAACTCCCTAAATGCCAATCTCCAGCTTAGATTCTGCTTTCTGGGGAAACTGAACTGTGACAGTTACTAATACAAAGAATCAATATTTTTATATCACATTATAGTTAGATAGCTTGAAATATATATGCTCATATCCACCTCAATATTTCAGCCTTCTGGATCTAGTTCCTTAATACATTAATAAAAAACTTTTTACTATATCAAAAATTACTTTTTAAACATTTTAGTAACTGTATTTCAAGATAATTTTCTGTGTTATCCTGTAAATTTTATTTTATGCATCTTAAAACATCACTCTGAGAAGGAGTCTATAGGCTTTACCACTACCAAAGGAATCCATGGCAAAAAAAAAAAAAAGTGGGAAGAGTCAAGAACCCCTGGGAACTCTCTCAGAAGATCCTGGTGTTTTTGCAGGGCTTTCAGCACCATCCATTTTCCAGCGGCTCCTTAATCGATGTCGCTCCTTCTCCATTGCTCCAGTGCTACTCAGCTGAACTCAGCAATTGCTCTTAACTGATCTTTTACATCACCGTTCCTTGCTCCCATCCATTTTCCATACAGACACCAGAATGGTTTAAACATATATGCAGAGCATGATGGCTCATGCCTGTAACCTTAGCACTTTGGGAAGCCAAGGAGGGAGAGAATCACTTGAGGTCAGGAGTTCAAGACCAGCCTGGTGAAACCCCCATCTCTACTAAAAATACAAAAATTAACCAGGCATGGTGGCATGCACCTGTAATTCCAGCTACTTGGGAGGCTGAGGCATGAGAATTGCTTGAACCCAAGAGGCAGAGGCTGCAGTGAGCTGAGATCACACCACTGCACGCCAGCCTGGGTGATGGAGTGAGACTCTGTCTCAAAACAAAACTATATATATACGCATACACACACACATACATACACACACACACAGACACACACACACACACATATATATATAACAAATATGCCTGGAGTTAATTCTAAAATAATAGTTAACATGCCCCAGATTTTTACTATGAGCTGAACTCTCCACTATTATTGCATTAATATATTTAACAGGCCAATAAAGTATGTACTGTCATTATCACTATTCCATACATGTGAAAACTAAAGATTATAGAAGAAAAATCACTTTTCTAAAATCACATACCTAATAGTAAGTGGCAGAATTGAGATGGTAATCTCAGAGCCAAAGCTCACTCTTTATCTTTTTGAAAAATAACTTTTTATTATAAAAAATTTCAAACATATCCCCAAACACAAGGAGATGTATAAAAATCTCCATATACTTATCACTCAGTCTTAGCAATTTTCAATATTTTGACATTTTATTTTATCTGTTATCCTTTCCCTTGCCACTCCCACATTTTCTTTCTTTCTTTATATCTGGAATATTTATTAAAGCAAACATCAGACATCACAGAATTTCACCCAATACAATAGTAGAACCAGTAGAGCCCAGTAGAATATTTCAGTAGAATAATGTTTTAAAAATGTTTCTCGAGTCATACCATTCCCTGTTTAAAATACTTTAGCACATTCCTATTCTACTTAGGATAAATCCTCCACAGGACCTGTAGACTTCTGAGTCGCATGGCCCAGGCCTCCCTTTCAAACACCATTTGATGACCCTCTGCCTTGCTCAAGAAAACACCAGGTCTACTGACCTTCTCTCAGTATGAATAGCTCCTTATCACTGAGTCAGAACCTTCTTTTCTGAAGCCTAGGAGGCTTTTCCTTCCACTCATTCTCCTGTGTAAATGTCCTCTCCTCAGAGACATCGTCCCATGTTGATTCAGATTCCAAGTTCTCTCCAGTCTAATTCTCCTTCAGCCTAATTCTTTCTTACAGCATCCTGTTCTTGGCTTTCATTTGATTTCTCACAATTAATAATTTTGCATATATTTGCATGTTTGTCTGTCTCTGCTACTGGGCTGTAAGAGACCTGCCAGTTTTGCTCACAGATCTATACCTAGTCTCAACATAGTACCTAGCACTCATTAAACTGTAAAGTGTGTGTGTATGTATGTGTATGTATACATATATGTGTACATACACATTTTAGTGTATGTATATTCTCGTGTATTCTATTGAGATTATGGGCAAGTGTATTCTATATTATATATAAAGAGAGTAAGAGAATAACTTATAGAGTTAAAAGTAAGTGTAAAAGGAGAAGTTATACTAAATTTTGAAAATAACCTATATTATTTAAATATTTAATTCTCCATTGTTCCATGAAAACAGATATGACTATTCATTAGCACTGACTAATGAAGGATTATATGTTATTTCAGATCATCTATCAAAAAAAATACCCTCTTTCCAGCATATAAAATCTTTCTCTCCCCATTGTCCTCAAGAGCTAGGACTTTATAACCTACTTTTATTTTGGTCCTAAAAATATTTTTTTCTCAAAAATGCTTTAGAAGTAATTGAGATCATCAATAAGAAATTTATGCAGCTTTCTTGGAAATGTTATGAGTTAGGTCCTAGCAACCTATCTCTAAGGCTATGAAACACTGACAGTTTGGTATCTATTTTATCTGCACCAACTGCCTACTTCAGAAACTGCTGTTTTGAAATACCATTCTGGGCTGAATACCTATTGCAGTATGTATAAAATGGAATTACAGGCCATTGCTACATTTGCTGCAGTTACTGGCATGATGGATTATAGGTACTCAATCAGACTGCATGATTTAGTAAAGTAGCTGAAAGAGGAACATTTGTTCTCTTTTTGTTTTACAATAATGTTTTTATTAGAAATATATGTACATTGTCGAAAGCTGGAAAATGCCAAAAATAGAAGGAAAAGAGTGAAAATCACTGATATTTTGGCTTTTTTGTTTTCAGATTTTTTCCATTATGAAATTGCTGATATTTCATCCTTTTGACCTATAAAATTGTTAATATCATATAGCTTACTCTAACATATCCAAATAATGTCATATATATTATTTTATGTATCAAAAAGCATACTAAATAGATTGTTTTATAGCTTACTTTTCTCATTTTTAACATTATAATTTCAGCATTTGTTCATAATATTAAACTTTTTGAAAACATTATTGTGAATGACTATTATATTTCAATATGTGGATGTACCACAATTTACCTAATGATTTACCTACTTTTGAATACAAGTTGTTTCTAATTTGTTGCTATTACAAATAATCCTCTGATAAACATCTCTATGCATAATTAATTTGTGTTTACTTCAGATTATTTTTATTTCTAGAAATGAGATTCTTGGTTATAGGTTAAACATATTTTCTTGGATTTTTTGTTTGAGACAGAGCCTCACTCTGTCACCCAGACTGGAATGCAGTGGCATGATCTCAGTTTACTGAAACCTCTGCCTTTTGGGTTCAAGCAATTCTCATGTCTCAGCCTCCCACGTAACTGGAATTATAGGCTCACGCCACCTCATCTGGCTAATTTTTGTATTTTCAGTAGAGACACGGTTTCACCATGTTGACCGGGCTGCTCTCAAACTCCTGACCTCAAGAGATCTGCCTGCCTTGGCCTCCCAAAGTGCTGGGATTACAAGTGTGTGCCCAGCTGGTTATACATATTTTCAAGTCTATTGATACCCAGTGCCAGGAACTTGATTTCAAGAAGAAATATTTGTTGTATGAAAGCAAGGGCTGTGTTTGCTTTTGCTCACCTGTTTCTGCAGTGGCCAGGCGTTTTGTCACATTAAAGGTACTCAATAAATTGCTCAATGAATAAATGTATGGCACACGCCACTGAAAATAAAGAATGTCTCCAAAATCAGACAACATGACATGCATGTCTGTTTTGGGTTGCCAGTGTTGTAATTCTACTCACCAGTGGTAGTTCTTCTGAGGCACTAACAAGTAGTATTTTTCTGGTGGTTATGATCTCGCTTTCCAGCTTCTCTCATGTATCAGAGATATTTTGTAGGAGTTGAAAATTGGAACTCTCAAATTAGATAAGTTGTAACTTAAACTTAGAGTCCTCCACTAGGTAGCTTCTCTGGGCCTCAGTTTTCCTCCATGAAATGGGAAGATTGACAGCATCCATGTCACTGAGAGGTTGTGAGGATTAAATGAGCTCATTTTCATAGAGATGATGCATTATGGTGCTGAGCACATAGTAATTGTTCAATAAATGTTTTCTGTTATTTGACATAATTGAGAAACTTTGAAAATACTTTTTCCTCCAAAAGGGAGTATATAAGGAAAGATGATGATTCTGTGTAAACATCTCAAAAAAGAGCCGAGGAGTACAAATGAGAAAATACCACTGAGAAAACAGAATTTTAAAAGATTTAGTAACCGCCGGGCGCGGTGGCTCAAGCCTGTAATCCCAGCACTTTGGGAGGCCGAGACGGGCGGATCACGAGATCACGAGATCGAGACCATCCTGGCTAACACCGTGAAACCCCGTCTCTACTAAAAATACAAAAAACTAGCCGGGCGAGGTGGCGAGCGCCTGTAGTCCCAGCTATTCCGGAGGCTGAGGCAGGAGAATGGCCTAAACCCCGGAGGCGGAGCTTGCAGTGAGCTGAGATCCGGCCACTGCACTCCAGCCCGGGCTACAGAGCAAGACTCCGTCTCAAAAAAAAAAAAAAAAAAAAAAAAGATTTAGTAACCTTTTAAATTCCTCCTTGGTTTGTTTTAATTATCCCAGGTCTATTTCTTTCTAATAATTGGCAGAAAAATCACAGACCAAAGGGCTCGTCTGGTAGCGGAGCCTGGAAGAGCAGCTGGGGAGATTGGTGTCCTGCCCCACCACCAGTCTTCCCAGGGACTGAGAGAGAGAGAACAGGAAATTGGTGAGTGTCTGAAGGTCTACAGTGAGGGGGACAGGAGAGAGAATGCAGGGACGAGGTACAGACTGAGAAAAGACTGAGACTTGAAGAGTTTCCAATCTGGACGGGCTGCTGGCACTGTGTGCCTGGGTCAGTCACAGCGGGATATGGATGCTGACGACTGAGTGAGGATCGAGTAGGTGTGTGGGCAAGGGCAGGTCATGTCCCACTAAGGACTGGCAGAGGCTGGCAGTGCTAGGAGAGGACCAGCCTTGGGGCAGGGAGCGCTAGTGTTGAAAACAGGGACCAAATCAAGCCTTTGTTTTCCCAGATGTGCTATATTCAGTCATCTAATCGACAGCTGTTCTTGAGAGTCTACTATGCGCCAGGTGCTGATGCAGGCCCAGGGGTAACAGTAGTCAACCAACAAACAGGCAAACATTTCACCCTTTGTGGAGCTGTGTTCTAGTGAGAGGAGACAGACAATATACAATATATAAAACATACCCCAGTGATATGTATTAGAACATAATAGGTACCTTTTTTAAAAAAAAGAGCTGAATAATGAGGGTGGTGAGAGTGGGTGGTGAAAGGGAAGTTTACAATATTGATTGGGGTTAATAAGGGTAGGCCTTGTTCAAACAGTGGCGTGAAAGCCAAGACATAAAGCAGGTAAAAGAGCAAGCTAGAGTGTGTTCTAGGCAAATGTAAAGGCCTCAAGGTAGAAGTGTGTCTGTTTTTGAGGAAGGCCAGAGTAGCTGGAGCAGAGTGAGTGAGGGAGAGGATGGTAGGAAATGAGGGCAGGGAGATTAATAGAGGACCGGTTAGTAGGGACCCCAGGAGACCACTGTAATGTTGGATATTCCTGGATCAGAGTTTCTCAATTTGTGCTCCACAAGTAATGTGGATTCTGCAGAAGAGTTTTCCTTGCCCTGTGCCCAGGCTGCTCAAATAGAATGCAGGCACAAAGAATATACCTGAATTCCGCTAGCCACTCTCCAAGGTCTTCTCCTGTGATGGGTGGAGAGACTTTCAGGGCAACCCTGTTCTAAATAGGAGGCGAAGGTGATATCCAGACAAATCCTTCCTGGGTATTTGCTTTGGGGATCTTGGGATTTTTGGCAGTATTGTAAGGCTCTGGCTCATGAATTCAGCCCTCTTGTTCCCATATCTGCAAGGGCATAACTGGGGTCCCCTCAGTCCTCTGGGTAATGTGACTCTCGCTGCAGACCTCAACATGGAAATTTCTCGCTAAGGTGGGAAGGTCTCAGTCCTCAAAAGGAAATTGAAGCTGTGGCAGCTTTTTTACTAGAAGGATCAACTTAATGATGAACACGAATACTTAAAATAATGAAGAGGAGCTGGGTGTAATCAAGAACTATGATTATTCAGGATCTCTGTAGGAGTAAATGTATTATTTCAAAATTTTCCAGTTTTGCACTCCCATGGTTATTGCAGCACTATTCACAATAGTCAAGATTTGGAAGCAACCTAAGTGTCCATTAACAGACAAATGGACAAAGAAAAGGTGGTACATACACAATGGAGTACTCTTCAGCCATAAAAAAGAGTGAGATCCTATCATTTGCAACAACATGGATGGAAACGGAGATCATTATGTTAAGTGAACTAAACCAGACACAGAAAGACAAATGTCACATGTTCTCACTTATTTACGGGAGCTAAAAATTAAAACAGTTGAACTCATGGAGATAGAAAGTTAGAAGGATGGTTACCAGAGCCTAGGAAGAGTAGGGGAAGAGTGGGGGGCACGTGGGTGTGGTTGATGGGTACAAAAAATAGTTAGGAAGGATGAATAAGATCTAGTATTTGCTAGCACAACAGAGTGACTATAGTCAAAAGTAATTTTATTGTACATTTTTAAATATTTAAAAGAGTATACTTGGGTTGTTTGTAACACAAAAAATAAATGCTTGAGGTGATGGATACCCCTTTTACTCTGATGTGATTATTATGCATTGCATGCCTGTATCAAAATATTACATGTACCCCATAATACATCTACTATGTACCCACAAAAATTAAAAATTAAAAAACAAATCTCCAGCTTTGGGGTCAAACGCTGAAGCCATTTATTTACATTTTAAGATTTGGGGGATGAAAAATACAGCATTATGCTTTTAACAGCTCTTTACAGCTTTACCATTTTTTAACCTCCATCTCAGGCTTTTTGTGTTTAAGTATATGTATTCTCTTTATGGAAACCCAAAACTTCCCTTATTTAAATTTCAAGGATGTTAAAACATTTTAATGTTTCATTACAATTAATAAAACATTACATTAAAATGTAGAATCTACATCATATACTCCTTTTTTTTTTTTGAGACAGCGTCTCGCTGTCACCCAGGCTGGAGTGCAGTGGCGCCATCTCGGCTCACTGCAAGCTCTGCCTCCCAGGTTCACGCCATTCTCCTGCCTCAGCCTCCCGAGTAGCTGGGACTACAGGCGCCCGCCACCACACCTGGCTAATTTGTTGTATTTTTAGTAGAGACGAGGTTTCACCATGTTACCCAGGATGGTCTCGATCTTCTGACCTCATGATCTGCCTGCCTCGGCCTCCCAAAGTGCTGGGATTACAGGTGTGAGCCACCGCGCCTGGCCCTGTTTTCTTTTTTAAAAAATGTTTTATATTTTTAATTTACCCTTTTAACTGAACCTGTTTTCAATTCATGTGAATATACATAAAGTATAACACTAAAGAGTTAAAGAAAATATCAGAAAACTCTGCCAAGAGGTGTCAACTGAGTAATAACAACCTAGTTGGAATTAAGCCACTTTGACAAGGTACACTTTCTGAATGCTTATGTGTTAATTGCCTTAACAGACATTTATCTGTTGGTGTGACAGGCTGCTAACCTTAGATCGTATGCCCAGCCCTGGGTTTCCCCTTCCAGATAAAACTCTGTAATCAGACCAGCTTGCTCAGACGTAGTGCCTGCCCACCTAACCCCACCCTGCCGACAGCAGCTGCCGAGGAGTAAGACTGAAGTTACCCAAATGCTCGTCCAATAGGTTCACATGTTAAAGACCAAATATTCCCCCCGAAACATGATCTCCTCAGTCCTCTCATCTCTGGAAATGGAGCTACCATCCTTTTAGTTGTTCAAACTAAAAAGCTAGGAATAGTGCTTTAATTCATATCACCCCCAACCATGTAATCTAATAGATCAGTTAATTCCAACAGCTCCTTCTCCAAAAGATGTCATGACTCTGTGAGCTACCTTCCATCTCTACTGCTATAATCCTGGTCCACACCTCATCACACCTGACCTCAGTTATTGTGATAGCTTTCTGTTTTATTTTATTATTTGAATTTCATTATTTAATTTCATAAGAGACGTGGTCTCACTCTGCTGCTCTGGCTGGAGTGCAGTGGTGCAATCATAGCTTACTGCAGTCTTGAACTCCTGGGCTCAAGCGATCCTCCTGCCTTAACCTCCTGAGTAGCTGGGACTACAGGCACGTGCCACCGCACTTGGCTTATATATATATATATTTTTTTGTAGTGACGAGGTCTCACTGTGTTGCCTAGGGTGGTCTTGAACTCCTGACCTCAAGCAATCCTCCTGTCTTGGCCTTCCAAAGTGCTGAGATTACAGG